GTCACGTCTATCAATGTTTTAACCTAAAAATGACCACTAACTACAAAGCTTACCACCCTTTCAAATTCACTACTATAAGAACATGACATATACTAAATCCTTCACACACTTTAATCTCTTCAAACATCTTATCATATTTCTCAATCCTACATTTCTATAATGAATTTTAATTTTGGCAATTCGTCATCTTCTTCATCTGATTCTGAAGATGATCATATACTAATTATGACTGCTCTTCGTCAAAAACAAGCAGTGATATCTCGTGTTATCGCTAATAACAACATCATCATTCAACACCTTCTCAATCAACAAAACCAAGAAGCCTCCCATGGAGGTTCTGTTCCTGGGCATATTGTTATCAATCATGATCGAGAGGCTGCTGATCGTAGGTTATACAATGATTATTTCTCAGAAAATCCATTGTATAACGAGACTATGTTTCGTAGAAGATACAGAATGTCTCGCTCGTTGTTCCTTCGAATTGTCGATGCAGTCAAAGATCATGATCATTACTTTCAACAACGAGTGGATCGAGTTGGCAGACTTGGATTATCTCCAATACAAAAAATAACTGCTGTCTTTCGTATGTTGGCATACGGCGTTCCAGCAGATGCTACAGACGAGTATGTCAAAATTGGTGAGTCTACTGCAATTGAAAGTATGAAAAAGTTCTGTCGAGCGACAGTTGAGGTATTTGGCGAGCGATACCTGCGGAGACCCACATCTGATGATATTTCCAGGCTTCTATATATTGGTCAACAACGTGGTTTTCCAGGAATGTTGGGGAGTTTAGATTGCATGCATTGGAAGTGAAAAAATTGTCCTACAGCGTGGGCTGGCCAATATGCTGGTCGTAGTGGAAAGCCTACAACCATTCTTGAAGCTGTAGCAGATTATGATTTATGGATATGGCATGCTTATTTTGGTTTGCCGGGCTCCAACAACGATATCAACGTTCTAGAATCATCTCATCTTTTCTCGGATCTAACCCAAGGTATTGCTCCTCCAGCTAATTATATAATTCAAGAAAAAGAATACAACATGGGTTATTATTTAGCTGATAGCATATATCCAAAATGGTCTACCATTGTGCAAACAATTCATGAGCCACGTGGTCCGAAAAAAAGATATTTTGCAATGAAACAAGAAGCACGTAGAAAGGACGTTGAACGTGCATTTGGAGTTCTTCAATCACGTTTTGGCATTGTAGCAGGACCAGTACGTTATTGGCGAAAAGAAGTGCTACATGATATCATGACCACATGTATAATTTTGCATAACATGATTGTCGAGGATGAACGTGACCTAAGTGCACCAATTGAAACTGAAATGGGAACGCCGCCGCCGGAGGTCGAAATGGCAGTAGATGAAAGTACTCGATTTGAAGAATTCATATCTCGTTACAAAAGAATTAGAAATAAAGATGATCACATTGCTCTTCGAAATGCACTAATTGATCATCTGTGGGAAGAATTCACCAATTCCGAGACTTGAAAGACTATCTATGTTTACTTGATTGTTGTAATTTTTAATTTCTCATGTTATGTGTTGTAATTTTTAATTTTATTTTGTGTGTTGTAATTTTTAATTTCTCATCTGGTACGTTGTAATTTTTTAATTTTATCTTGTGTGTTGTAATTTTTAATTTATCATCTTGTGCGTTGTAATTTTTTAATATTTTGTGTGTTGTAATTTTTAAATTTTAATTTTAATGACTATTTATTTCTCCAATTTTATTATGTATATATATGATTATTACTTTATAATTAGTTTATTACATAAAGTCTAAATTAAATTAAAAATAATAGTGTGGTTTAATTTATAAAGTTGTAAAATATGTGGGTAGTATTGAAAAGTTATAAAAGTTGATATAAAAGAGAATATTCTTTTGGGTTGGAGAATGGGTTTTTCGGTTGGAGATGAATTACTGCAAAATGGGATAAGTACTGCAAAATGGGTTTGAGTATGTGGTATTCGGTTGGAGATGGCCTTATGTTGCATAAATTATTTTTACAACCAATTTATTAATTAATTATTAGTGATATATAATTATTCTTAATATATTAAAAAAAACAAACATATGACGTAATACGTTTATTTGCTAATTAACTGACAAATTGAGGATTTACTTATAGACCGTCAAATAGAGTAAGGCCCAATACATCTAACAATCAATGTTATCAACTGACAAATTGAGGGTTTACTTACAGACTGACAAATAAAGCTGAACACCAATGTTATTTTATGGCATGAGTGTTTTGATGGAATGAAATTTGATAGGAATAGAATGAGTTGAAGAATGTAATGATTATAAGAATGGAATGGAACAAGTTTTGTCATTGATGCGTTTGGTATGCAGAAGGAATAAGACCGGAATGAAATGACATTATCATCCTATATTATCATTTATCACTATTTTATAGTAAAAAAAAAAATTATTTATATTAATGTTATTTTCTTATTTATGATAATACTAATATTATTTTATAATTTAAAAATACACTGTATTTTAATAAACATACTTTTGTATATATTGTTACACCCATCTTATATACTAAATAAGTGAATTATGTATTTTTATACAAATTAACATATATATGATTATATAAAATAAATAAGATTTTTCTAAATTATTTATAAATGTATTTTTTGTGAGTTTTATTTTTATATAAATATTTAATATATCTAATTAAAATATGACTAATAGATAAAAATAATATTTTAATTTTTTATTTGAATTTTATTTTTTAAAATGATTTAATTTAATTTAAGCTCGATAATATAGTATATATTATATATTTATTTGTTATTATTATTTGTTAATTTTATTTTTTGAAAAATTGATTCTTGAACTTATAGGAATGAGAAGACCATCCATTAGCTATGAATGGCTAATCCCATATACATGAGTTTTGCGATTCTCATTGGAATGGTCATTCTCTTCTAAAAAATATACTAATCATGAGAATAAGAATGAGTAAAAGAATGATCATTCTATTCCCACGTCATTCCCACATACCAATCAGACCATTAATGTAAAAGCAATATATTGACTAATTCATCTAACAACTAAAGCATATAAATACCATAGTTATTAAGTGGCACTTGTCGAATTAATTATAAGGATTAGTTAGAAGTTACAAGATGTACACCGGCCACGTACTAGCACTAAACATATGGTTCTGGGTTTTGGCGATTTCCACACAAAATTAAGGAACTATAAATGATTAATTAGCTGAGGAGATTACTGTTTATTTTTGTATGGCTTAATTTCATTCAGTATAGAATCTATAGATATATGATACCGATGTTTACAATATGTGTACGTTTACTTTTTAATATTAGTGTATTTAATTGAAACTCGAAAGTCCTTTTCAACTTCAAATTTGATAGTTCATTAAATCTTCTGATTCTTGTGGATGATAATTTAAGGTGAACTTATTTTTAAAAGCACCAACCATGCACAAGTTAATTACAATCGCTATGAGCTCATTCAGATTAGCTTAAGTTAATTAATATAGACTTGTTGGTGTGTATACCGAAAGTTCAATTTTTTTATTAACACAATTCCCGTTTGAGTGGAATCATGTTTAATTAATCAATTCTACGCACGTTCTAATGTTTTTCATTCGGATAATATGATTCACTTCGGATGGACAGAATATCATATAATTGGTTACTTGTAAAACATAAATTTTGGTTTACAACTTAGATGAAATTGAACAAACCATCGCGAACTGTTGTGGTGTTAAGTATAGTCTATCTTGACTGATTGATTACACTGGTGCTACTTGTCTGTATTGAACGGAAACGACATAGGATATTTTTATTTTATATTGACCAAGTAAATAAACTAGATTATGTTAATTATTATGTACTCTTATCCCGTAAGCTAATAAACAGACACGCTGTTTGCTAATTACTTTCACTTCCGCAAGTGTATGACGTAGTTATAAGTAGTGGGCGAGCAATGTCGTATTTCACAAATTGTAATTATATTAATTAGATAATAAAATATTGACGATTAAATATTATCTAAAAGTTTGATGATGATTATAAACCAAGAACTAATTTATCTAAGAAATAATATAGACTTGATTTAATTAATGGATGTTACGAAAAGTAGATTTTAAACTTGATTTAAATTATTATTTCAGATTTAATTGAGTGTTTGTGAGCGTTTTATTTTCTTTTATTCGATTCAGTTTTTCAGTGTTCTTAACTCGAACACTTTGAGTGCATAGGGTTTAAGTATTTTTGTAGCTGAGAGGGATCCATAACTATTTTCGAAGTCCAAATGTTGTGGCTAGGGAAGTAGTTGATAGAGTCAGGTATAATGTTGGTTAGATTAGGAGGGAGTCCTATTCGTGTAATTTGAAGATATACGTTGTGCGCAAACCAATCTATTAATGAAAGAGCTCCGAGGGGTAGTGAGACGCTCCTCAAATGCATATATGTTTTTTTATATCAGTTTCGCTTTTAATTTAGATGTTCGAACATACCTTGCACACCCTACTCCCCGACCCAATAATTTACAGTTTTTAAGAAGTAATTAGCCCAATTGCATGCCTTTTTATGGTTCTTTTGTTTTGATTTACATTTTCATATTTGAGTAGCACTGTTGTGGGTTAATTGATACAAAATCCAAATACATTGTACAATATAATTATATGTTTAATTAATTATTATTTAAAATTGTATATATAACTTAGTATTTTCTTATAACTTATACTACTTGTATTGTAATTTCCATACATTTGCTGATTTGCAACCGAGAGAGAACTAGCAGGAGCTAACAATAAGACATTCCTTCGACGTTAACAAAGTAACAAAAATTTCCGAAACTAAAACCTCAACAAATAAAACCTATCCCGAAACCCCATATCAGGTTCTGGAAGGACAGTCCATCTTTGGGCCTACTTTTCTAATTTTTTAGGGAGGGAAGTTTTAGCCCACAAATAGTTGTACAGTACATATGTAAGCCCAAATAAATTTATTCACTTCTACAAAACCCTACTTCACTTCAACTTCTGTATAAATCGGCTGCTGCGCCATTCGCCCTGCAATTCTTCGAGTGCAGTGGCGAAAAATCATGGGTAAACATTTCTTCTCCAGAACTCAGCCAAAACCTAATCCAATTTCGTTAACATTTGCACATTTTTACCGATTTTAATGTTTTCTTTTTGTGCTCGCAGGTGCCTACACCTACGTTTCGGAGCTATGGAAAAAGAAGCAATCTGATGTGATGCGGTTCGTGCTTAGAGTTCGCTGCTGGGAGTACCGCCAGCTTCCTGCTGTGGTACGTGTCACCCACCCAACGCGGCCCGATAAGGCCCGGCGTCTCGGCTACAAGGCCAAGCAGGTATAGCTGTCGATTCTGGAGCGTGTTCAGTTTTTTTTTTTTTTTTTTTTTTTCTTCTAAATATCTGGAAAGGGATTACTGAGCTAATTTTTGTTTTAAGTGACAAGTTTATTTATTTATTTATTTATTTTATGCCCTTGTAGCTACTTGTAGCTCGGATTGGTTGTTCTTAATTATCACCGTTTCTTCATTATTACCCTTCACTATTTTTGTAGAGAAAAGTTCTTCATTTATAATTTGATCAGGCCTAGTGTGTAGTTCGTCATACCTACTATCTCTATTCCCAGCTGTGGTTTAGCTATATAATTTATGATTTGTTTAACTAGGTCTCAGATGTAGATAGTCAATGTGGATTTTTGGATACCGCATTCTTTAATTAGGCTTTGGTAAGTGCGATGTGAAACAAGCACTAGAATTTTGAAAATATTAGTGTACCTTATTAGATTTTGGCAAGCATTTACTTGGCAGTCTGATAAGGGCCATTCTCTTATATATGTTTTGTCAGTTTTGATATTGGGCGTGCACATCTTGAACATTCTTGAGTATATATTTGTAGGTGACTGAGGTTTTGTTTGAATACTGTGGAGTAAGGAAGGATTTTTTTCCCTAAAATAAGAGTAATATTTCAAGTAGGTAAATGCTATTGTTTGTTAATCTTCATAAGAAGTCTGGTTTGACTTAGAGATCTTTTCTAGTTGATCTTTAGCTGAAAATTTCTGCATTCAGCCACGACACGCCACTGTTTCCTGAGGTAACTTAGCATCCTGCAAAATAAATTGGCTATTTTATCAGGTGTCTACTTTTATTTGATTTTCTAGAATGTAGCTATCCTAATTAAGCATGTAGAGTAATATTTTAATTTAATGCAGTACTGTAGAGTAGAGCATTCACTCTGATATTTCATATTTGCTTTATTTGGTGCTTATGTAAATTTGATTCTTTCCAGGGGTATGTGATCTATCGCGTACGTGTTAGACGTGGTGGAAGGAAGAGACCTGTGCCCAAGGGTATTGTGTATGGTAAGCCAACAAACCAGGGTGTTACTCAACTCAAATTTCAACGCAGCAAGAGATCTGTCGCTGAAGAACGTGCTGGAAGGAAATTGGGTGGTCTAAGGGTTCTCAACTCTTACTGGATCAATGAGGTTCGCATTATATAACTATGCCAACTTCTAAAACTACCTATATATTTCAGTGCCTTTTGTAATGTATCCGTTTCTTGAACTAGATAAAGTAATTGAAAGTTCTGTGCTTAGGGAAAAAAGTTCTGTTTACTTTTTTTTTTCTGAAAAAATTGTTATCTGATTTAAGTTGATGAATTTTATTGCAGGATTCGACTTACAAATACTTTGAGGTGATCCTGATTGACCCAGCCCACACCACCATTCGCAATGATCCTAGGATCAACTGGATTTGCAACCCTGTTCAGAAGCACAGGGAGCTTCGGGGGCTTACATCTGCTGGAAAGAAGTACAGAGGTCTGAGAGGAAGGGGCCATCTGCACCACAAAGCACGTCCTTCCCGAAGGGCCACTTGGAAGAGGAACCAGACACTCTCCCTACGTCGTTATCGTTAATCTGGTTGACCTTTTCCTTCATTTGTTTGCTTACTGAGAGTGATGAGGGCCAAGGTACAATAGAGTTATTGTGTTCTGTTGAGGTTTTTGGACATCTGGGAAGAGTTTTATTTATGTTTTGATTGAACATGTTACTTTTTGGGTTTTGGGAATCAAAATATGCCCTTGAGATTTTGTTATATTGTGTCAAAAGACTTGTTTTTGCAGCTTTTCCTTCTCTGCAGTGGCTGGATTTGTTTTTGCAGCTTTTCCTTCTCTGCAGTGGCTGGATTATAATTTTGTTTGTATTTGTTTGCTGTTAAAATTTTAATTGTCCTACTGCTGTTACATGAATTCTGCTCTTTCGTTGAAACAACTGGATGTGAAATTATGTGAAATTGGGATTAATGTATTTGGATTTGTGTTTTAGAAGATTTGGAACTCGGCTGTGACTGGATTCCAGTAGACATGATCTNGGGATTAAAGCGGGATTCCCAATCTGTACATAATCAGGAACCTTAAAAGGGCGAAAGGTTTAGAAGGTCTACACTCGACCAACCAAATACAAAAACAAAAAATCAAAACTTTACCGAAAAGGGGAAATCTAAACCTGGGTTGTAAGGAGTCCAAGAGGCAGTAACAACACTAAAAACTGATCTAAAAAGAGAAAAAACTAAGCAACTAAAAGGCTATTGGAGTTTGAACGAGGGGTAGCCGTCCTGATCCATTTGTACAAGGGTGCGGAGACGAAGCTGGGCGTCATCTGGGCCAATAGTTGCCCTTTGGGGGTTGGAGGTGCCGAGGCTAGCAAAGAAGTCGGCGGGACGGTTCCCCTCGAAAAATGTGCTAGATTCGGTGAGGAGACGAAGCGGGGTCTCATCAGGGCCAAAAGTTGCCCTTTGGGGGTTGGAGGTGTCGAGGCTAGCGAAGAAGTCGGCGGGACGGTTCCCCTCTCGAAAATTGTGCGAGATCAGATGACGGACCGATTGGAGTGTAGATCTGATGCGCATGAGTGAGTGTTGTATATGCCACGAACCCTGATGGGCCGATGCCAATAGGGTGGCGACAGTGGCAACATCCAGCTCAACCCAAATGTAAGTAGAGATAGATGTAGCAGCCTGGAGACCGATATGGAGAGCCTGAATCTCCGCGTCATAGAGATAGATGTAGCAGCCTGGAGACCGATATGGAGCGCCTGAATCTCCGCGTCATAGCTCAAAGAGGCCGGAAGAGGGGCATGAAAAGCTAAAATTAGAGCTCCAGTGTAACCCCTTATCAGGCCCCCTCCTCTGACAGCTACTGTGAGTCGGTCGAAGTCGGTGCTCCTCGCAGTTTAGTTAGTTTTGGTGAAATTATTAAGTAGCTAGCTATTGTTATGTTTGTAAATCGGATAACCGATAACCGAACCAATCCAACCGATGAATTTCAGTTTGGAATCGAACAAAACCATAGAATTCCATTTGGTTTTTGGTTTTCAGGTTGGACAAACTGAAATTTTGGTCAGTTCTGTTACTGTTGGCGGCCCTCTCGTCCGATCTCTATCAGCTGTTTGATCGCCAAGTTTGAAGATTGCATCCGACTTGTTTCTTGAGATTTGAGTATTCATAGTCATCTAGACTGGAGTGTCCAAATATGAGATTATTTCCATGGTAATTCATTTTCTCTTTGTTTGGCCGTCCTTGGAGGTCGATGCTTCTTGGTGTAGCGAGCGTGCTTGTTGGTAGCCTGGGAGAGCTTTAGTTCATAGTTAATTTGATTGATTTTGTTAGTTTGTTGTTTATGTTTTTGTTTCGCTGTTTTTTGGTTGTTAGTGTCCATTAGTAGAGTTTGTTAATTTCAGTTATGGAGTAGTTTAGTCTCCTTTATGGAGTTTTTTTTATCCCCAGTTTGGGAGTTTTTCGTAGAGACGTCCCCTGTGAGGGTAGCCCAACTTCAGTCCATCTCACGTGGGCCTCTATAGGGCGAGGGGCACGCAAGACTGAAGTTCAACAACTTTCCTATAAATTTATTTCAACAACTTTCCTATAAATTTACTAGGAGATGTTACTCATTTTATACAAGTTTTGACATTTTTATGTTTGTGAATTATTATATTTTTACTAAGATTTCAGAGTTCATTAGAGAGCAAAACGAACCAAACTGCACGCAAGCCGTTGAACCGTTGGAACTGAAATCGTTCACCGCTTAAATCTGTTTGGAACCAGTTCAAACGATTCTTAATATGTTTTTAACTTAGCGGCTTAATGCATTGAACCAGACAAATATGACGCTCGGTTCCCGGTCGAATCGATCGGTCCGGTTCAGTTTTTAATACCATTATTTTTCTTGATTTGTATGTTAGTTGTCTTTAACTTTATCTTTTTCAGATAGAGAAAATATGTTTTGAAGATCATATTTTTCTTGAATTTTAATTGACCTTTATCTTTTTCGGATGGAGAGGATATGTTTTAAAGCTGACCATAAAACGTGGAAATTTCCAAATCTTTTGATCTGCTGGTTCATCTATGAAAACTCAATATTCATGCCTTGTAAGTCACGTGCACGAATATCTTACTCAAATTTTTTAGATTTACTTGTGTCTCTCGCTCTCCTGAATATTGTGGAACTTTCTTTCCTTGTTTCCTTGCTAACGTTTGAAAATATCTTCTTGCTCAATTTATTTTCTTTCTTGCTCGATTTTTCAAGCTCTCATCCTCATGTTTCTCATCTCTCAAATCTCACACAAGTCTTTTCCTTTTATTATCTCATTGCTCTTCTTTTTTTTACAGGTAAATGAAGACAACTAAACACACAATATAAAATATAGTAAGAGAATATGTATGAAATCTCCTAATAAATCTCTAGCTCTTCTTGCTTTTTTTATTTTCTAATATCTTTTCATTTCTTGCTCATTTTATTCAGTAATATCTTCTCTTTTTCGATAAGCTATAAGAAGATAATTAATTCCAATTAGGTAATAAGAGAATAACTTAGATATGAAAAGTTAAATTGAGATCTTCCATTTTCCTTCAAGCATTAATTCTACGTTACCTATTTTAAGAAACACAAATATGGTAAATAAATATTATTTATGATTAATTCCAAATTCTATGTTCTTACAATATTTTTTTAAAATATAATTATGAAAGGAACTTATATACTCATATTTAAAATTTTATTTAAGAAAATACAATTATTTATAAATTCATCATCTTCCCCATTTTGTCGGTTGTAACTCTCAAATCGTCACCCAATGCAATCACCCGCTGACTGCTATTTCACCTCGCCTGCCCCCCTCCGTATTTTACAAAATCACCTATTAAAGCTTGTTAAATCATTACTTGAAGTCATACGGTTGGAGTTTTATGACAAATATACGCTTAGATAACCAGAATTTAACAGTATCTTCCAATCTCGATAGGAGCTTCCACTCCGACAATTGATTGACGAAGTTAGGCACAACTTTATGTTTAATGAAGTTTTCATATTTTTATTGTGAGTTAGGCACAAACAATTAATATATAATAGTATAATGAATTTTCTCGTTAAATGGTTGTGCCTAACTCATAAAATTTGTAATAATTGTTTGTGGTGGCACGCTTCATTTACAAAATTATATATTATTGCGACTGCTTTCCCAGAATATAAGATCCAATTTCTAAACTGAAAATATCATTTTTTTTTAAAGAAATCACTCTCAATAAGTTCCAGTTTTTGATGATGAAAACCCACAGATTGAGCAATTGAGTTTCATTCCCAAACGAACAAATGAGCAGCATCTTGTACAAGTTACATCACTGAACGAAGACCTTTTATTTTATTCAATAGAGATGGAAGAATATACAGAAGAAGCAAATGAGAAAATTAGAACTACAGAACCTATTACATGTTTATACATTGTATTCCATCTCTTTATGCAAACCAAGTATTACAAAAGATCCTCCATACAAATGACACCTCATTGAGTCATAGAAAAAAACAGAATACGAAGATTATTCAGATCTGTACAGAATTAATCACGAGAATCTTTGGTTAAGGATGGTCACTCCAGATATATAAATACACCAACAGCCAACCATAGTAGTCTACCGCCCTGCAGTGTGGAAACAATCATCTATGTAAGAATGACCATTTGTAAAAACCAGTTTACACATAAACACAAATATTGAATAAGCCATTATTCGTGCAATCAGGAGTCGACTGAGGCTTCAGACCACAAGTTAAAACACATAAATACACATCATCAAGTAGAATATCTTCCTCAAAGAAGATAACCGCAGACTTCGTACTTCTGTAAAAAGGACTCTTAACAAGTTACAATGACAACATGAACATAAGATATATTCTTGTCTAAATTTTTCTAATGGGATTTCGCAATCATACCACCAAAACATCCATTGACAAGAAGATGGTTCATAACATAGAAAAAGAAAAATAAAAATTCCACATTGTTACCGCATGCAATCAAAGTCCGCCAACCGAGAGCCTCATCCAACCTGCCACTGCAATTACATAATGAAACAAAAACATCAATTGACATATCAAATCTGAGTACTACTATGTTTTTTGTTATATCACATATTGTAAAGTTTGAGACTAGGATAATTCCAACGCCTGTATGAAACTCCCAATTGCAAAAGTTGTGTTAATAGAAAAAGTAAAGAATATACGACAATTTCCAAATTTGGAGCATTGACTCATAATTGAGAGAAAGAGAGAGCGTGAGAGCAACAATATAAGAAAAGTCCATTATCCCGAAACAATGCAACATCACCTCTAAACGGTAAAAGCAAAAGATATTAGACTAATAGTTATACCTTAAGAACTGGTTCGCCCTTATTGGTGTTTGCATTATGTTTTGCAGCAGCCGCAAGCTGGGCTTTTGCGGCCCTTCCTGCTGCCGATTGTTCAAATTGCTCTTGCCTGCAACAACAATGAGCAAATTACACAAGTTTTGAATAATGATACCCTAAAACAAGAAAATGTGCAAGAGCTACCCTGAAATATGGTCCCTTCTGCAATTAGTTTTACAATCATAGCAATTTAGAATAGATTTTTTATAATACCCTGAGGCTTAGCATAACTTCAAAAAACTGAATTACTATCTTCTAAAATTACACAAAATCCCGATATTTATCGACGTCTTACAACAGTGCATTCCCGAGAGGAAGATGATTTTGTAGGTAAACACAACCTCAAGGGGATATTTCTAATTTTTAAAACATATGTGTGTTCTTTTGGGATTAGACTTAATCTCAGGAAAAGTTTGTGAATCATCCCATTTAAGAGCATACATCCAAGGTGTTTGTTGTTTCTATACAAGAAGTACCGTATTTCATTGTCAGATTTTCATTGCAGAAGGACATCATATTAAGGTATGGGAAATGAGTAAACTATTCCATCCGAAATCTCACCAATTTCAACACTCAAAGTAGCACGAGAGTCCCACAAAACAGCATAAAAGATTCATGCTCAACGATTCAATAATCCAGTTAACTAGAAGAATGATTAGAGCATATCTCTAATCGATATCTTTATTTTTCTTTCATTTTTCAGTTATACACCATTAAAAGTAACTCAATCAGCTCATTTTAATTAAGGTGCATATGAAACTTGCAGCAGTGTTTAGTCGAGACAAGAAAATATCCCCAAGAACAATGCATAAACAGATAATGAGAAGATAAAAATAATAATAAGAACAATCATAATCACAAATTAAAACCCATTTAAACTATCCGCCAGACTGAAAATCAAATTCTATTAGCTCCAAAATCATTCCTTTTCTGTTTCCTGGGAAACTATAATCCTCGATCTAGAAACCAACGATTCCCATCCCTCTATCTCCAATACGGAATACTATCGAAAAATGTTTCCGATCAGAAAAATTAACCAAAAACGAAAAAGAGGATTAAAGGAACTAAAAAAACAAATAATGCGTATCACATAATTTTTAAACGAAAATAAAAAGGAAACGAAAAGAAATCGAAACCTTTTTTGGGCAGCTTCAGCGGCTTTCGCTCGAGCTTGTTCGGAGGCGAGGCGTTCTTCTTCTCGTCTCCGTTGCTTACTTCCACCATCGAAGCAAGCGAAGCAACCCACCATCTTTGAGTTCTCTCTCTTTCTCCCTTTCTCCTTTTACCTTTCCTCAAAATTATTCGTTCATTTCAGTTTGGCGACTTTACTGTTTGTCAAAGCTAAGAATGTTGTTATTATTAATAAATTTTGACAAATGTGAATTAATTACATGAATTATCTCCAATACACAATATAATTAAATACAATATTGTTTACTTGACAAAAATAGAAAAAAATTATAAATATGAAGGAAAATAACTTAAATAATTAGATATTTTAAAAATAGTAATAATGTTTCTCATTGGTTGGCTAGAACATGATCATTCTTTTCTACATTGTATACATTAACTATGTCCACACCATCACTATATTTGTGATAATATTGTTCATCAGAGAATTAAAGTGGAGAAATTGCTAAAATTAGTTAATATAGAGTGTAATTTACTACAACTATATGAGCATTGGATATTTTCTATGATTTGATTGAGTTACAAGTCAGTATTTTATTTATCACATTTTATTTAATTAGCATATAAATGTTTTAACTTGGTACAAACAATTTTATTTATAAGAATGAACCTTATCTCAAATGTTAATTGTTGTAACATATTAAAAATGTCCATTTTTTTTTATTTCATCTAAATTATTAACTACATTTATTATATAAATTAGTTGTTTGAGTTATTAGTCTCAAATTTTCAACTAACAAAGTCAAAATTAACTAACCAACGGGTCAACGCGGGCCGCACATCCACCGGGCTCAACCCATTGTACACGAGTCTTAGGCCTGCCCCCAAAATCAGGCTCGTAGTTTGTCCAGGGCGATTTTGTGCCCCACCAAAAAAAAATTTACTTCTCTGTTCCAAGCCCAAGGCCTGGCCCGGTCCACACCAAAAATTTTGGATTTCAAATTCAATATTGGAAACTTTTTTGGGACCCGTCGGGCTAGGCTTGGTCAGAACTGGAACCAATAAGTCGACGGGTCACAACGATCAAATTTTCAAATTTGGCTGTTGGATCTTGTGATCGTTGGAGATTCAAATATCCATATCTCTGCAAGTTGATGGACTGAAGTGGAACGAGTAGCTGTTTTTTTTTTCTCTCTCTTTAAAATCCCTATAAATACCCCCTCCACCTCTTAATTTTTCCACAAAATTTTCATCATCTGCGTATTCTCTCTCGCTCCCTCTCTCAAGTTTTGGTTGTCTAGTATTAAGTTATTATGATTTAAGCACCTTTGAAACTCAATTTCACTAATCAAGTTATGAAAATGTCGAGTTCTCGTGGAGGTCGTGAAAGAGGTTTGACAGAGAGTCTGACTAGTGAGTGGACAACCACTAAAGCGAAATGGTGTAGCATCAACATGTGGTAGTCTATTGGTGCTGGCATCATTATTTAGCGAAGACCATGTCGTTGATGAATTTGGTTCCGAGGAAATCGATGATGTATTTCAATTTGTACAAGATGAGGTACTCGAGTATAGGATACTGCTACATAAGCTCCAACTTTGATGGCCGCGACATTGGTCCTAGGTCGAGCTTTTGCATCCAATATCTTCACAAGGCATTTCAAAAAGGTGTCCGACCTAAGTAAGGGTTCATAGACATTTATATGGAATTTTAATAATTGTTAAGCTGAAACCACAAAGAAGTACGCTTTCAAAACTTGTGATACAAAATCTTGACGCGACACATACTGTTCAAGGATCTGGCCGCAATGGGCATTGAGTCGAGCCAAGCTCAACTTCTGACTGGAAATGGAACTGGAAGTGCATGTGCATTTAGAACAGCCGACAAAAGTTTATTTTCTTCTTTATTTCATTACTCTGATGCAAAATCATAAATATTATTTAGTTGAATTTGTTTATGCTTCAACTCTTCCTTTTAGTTTGTGGTAATTCTGATTTATATAAAAATTTTGCTCAAATAGATTTAAACCCGACTATGAGTCGAGTTCCACGTACTACCCTCCGCATTATTCGGAACATAGTGGATGAGAAACAATCAATTTGATGTAAACATTTAAAAATTTATTACAAAGAGTTTCTATTTTGTTGTGTATGTTTTTGCTGGTATATTTTGTAATTTTATGGTCCTCTTTCGAGTTAATTTGAGCTTGTTTTATAGATTTTCGATCCACTAGGTTGATTTCACTCATTACGTATTTTCATAACGTTTTAGTATTTTGTGCATTTCTATCTCTTTTTATATTTTATTTTATAGAAATATACGTTTTGAAAACATAGTTGGTGTCACCGAAAAATCACCAAAATACCCGTCGGAAATGCACCGAAAAACTCATCAAAAAACTTATCGGAAACTTGTAGGAAAACTCGTTGGAAATTCCTAGACGGTCTGCCCAATCAGGGCCTGGTGGACCCATAGCCCAGCACCGAGCACAACCCGTGCGCACAACACTAGCCCAGCCGCGCGCACGCCCGCACCTCAGCACACCCATGCCTGTGTTATCCCGCACCTGCAGCCCTGCGCCAGCACCCGTCTCCTAGCCCACACGCCCCGTGGCTCATCGCCCAAGCCTGATAGGCCTCGCGCTCGCGACAGCGTGAGCATCGCACAGGTTTCGCGCGTCTCTGAGGTCTCGCGAGGAATATAGCCGCAAGGCTTTACGCCCGTGCCACATAGGCAAGACTAGACCCAATACATTTCAGATGCTCGTGTTAATTAAAAATACCAAAAGTTGACACTTAGTTCGAAAAGTTTTAAAGGGGTAGTTGCAAACCAAATCTGATCCACCACAGGCCACTCTTGGACGATTTTTTTTTAATTTTTATTTTTCAAATAATTCTGTAAAATATTTCTCTGTGACCATGATTCAGTGATATAGAAAATAAAAATATCTTCAATGTAGCATAAATATAATGCTCACCTCACCACAAATGTATGACAAATTATACTTAACTAGTGCGTGGCTCGTGCGATGTCAAATTATTAATTACTGTGTAACTTTTCAAAATGACACTTATTCAAAAAAGGAGGAAGTAATTCTTATTATATATATAGATATAGAGATAGATTACACCTACCTACAAAGTAAAAAACATTCAGCCGCAACTAAATAAAATAATCAGTCATTTAGTCACATAGTCTGCGGGCAGACAAAACGAATCGAATAATATAATTATTGATTTGTAGTGAAGGCTAAATTGTAAAAATTAAATCCAATATCGAGATTGGTTGATGAGCTCAGTAAGTAATTAAGTAATTACATAAGTACGTATATCGTTATTAGACGAAATTAATAAACATCTTATACTGTCTTCTTTTCTAATGCGATTTAAGTGAGGCGTCAGTTTACTTAATGGCGTGTGAATTTGTTTAGTATTCTTTAAGTTTTAATTTCTCGTATTACAATTACTTTATTGTAGAATTTGACCAAGAAATGTTACTTTGTATTATTATTGAAGTCTACTAAGGAACCATACCTTGTACATGATCATTCGGTCCGACTGTATTTACGTTCAACCTTCAAAAGTTTGTGTTTAATTAATATACACGAAAAGGTAAACTTCTTGTATATAGGTCGTGCTTAATTAGATGCATACAATTAAGTACCAAAAAATGCCGTACGTATTTTTAAATAGGTTTCCTTCCCTATTACAATAAGTCAAATGTATTCATTATATCGTGTGTTTTTCAGAAAATTGTGATGCACAAATAGAAAAAATTACATGCTTTACCAATCAAACTGTACAATTTTCAATTTTGGCCTAATACCAAGATAATTTTATTTGTACACGGGTACAAATTTTAAGAATCATTATATTTAACCCATCAAACTGTGCCAGTTTTTATAATTTGCTTGTAAAACATATATTTTTTTACAACTAAATGGTAGAAATTAAAGTAATATATGGTGAAAACATATTTTTGACAAACATTATTCATGTGGAGTTGAACCAATAATGGCCTCTTGTAAGGCTAAATTAAAATATGAATCCGAATATCTTTTGTACCCGTGCTATAACTTAGTATAAATAAATAAATTAGAGAGAGAGAGGCCTAAGTCACCACAAATTGATATTTGAATTAGACCAAAATTATTGCATTTCCTTCAACTAATGAATCACAAATATACAACTCAAAGCTGTTGAAGTTGGTAACAAAAGGGGTGGCCTGCCTTCCACAACCTTGCATATATGTACCATAATGTACACCAATCAAACATCTCCAGACATGGATCAATATTCCCAATAATCCACATCCTAACATGATTCTTAAACAAACTATTTGTATTTACATTCACAGCATCCAATATTCACTTTCTTGTAGTCACTTAGACTAAAAAGAGAGAGATTGAGATTTAG